AAACGAATATTCATATTTGACCTGATTGTTTATAGTTCATAATGTGTAATCAAAACCGAAAGTTTCTGTGATAACGTGATAACTGCCCTTGTACTGTTCACCATGTAAGAACTTATTCACTATGTAAGAATTTGTTCACCATGTAAGAAAAAAAAAAAAACATGACATAAAGTGCACTAGATTGCACAGTTGGTGGGGACTGGATTTGAAAATAGGTTCTTCAAGTTTAGAACCCATTTTCTTAAATAATATATTCCTTTGATAAGGCTATGATTTTCATATAGCTTTTTCTTTAATATAAATCAGGATTTAATTATGTTTAATTAAGTGTGCTTTCATTTATTTGACTTAATTTTATATTCCTTAAAGCACTTCAATATATTATAATTTAACTTTCTGGTTATGTATCAATAATGGTGAGGAGTGATGAATATTTTTAAGGGTAGAGAGTTTACAGAAGAATACTGATTTTATAATCAAATAAAAATATTGAGGGCCACAATAACAGCAAATAAGGTAATTATAAAAACTGATGGTCAATATATCTATTATTAAAATTAGGCAGAATAATCAGAATATTAAAAAATAATGAAATTCAGTACCTTCTTCTCTCCATAATATGTTAGCTACTGTAGCATGTTAAAAAGAAAAAGGAGAAAAAGAAAATTAGTCAAGAGGGCTTCAGTTGCAGTAATATAAATAACAATTACAGAGGTCACAGACTCTAGGATAGAACATGTACATAAAAATAGAGAATGAATACAACAAACCAAATGAACAAAACAGTAAAATGCTGGTACTAGCTAATAATGTTCTGTTCATCTCTTGAAATAGCCAATTCTTCTTTGGAATAAAGATTTTGCTAATAAACAAAGAACATTTAAGACATCACTGAAAAGAAAGGGATATTAAAGTTTATTTTGTTGAAATACATCTTTAAAACAAGCATTGGTAGTTAAAACTATTTATTCACTTGACAGCATAGTTAAAAGTTACTAATCAAAAAGGTTATAATTTTAAGATGTTTAAAAATCACAACACATTATATTACTACATAATATGCAGCATTCCTGAGCAAGAAGAGTTCTTGTAAATACAGGATTTTGAACATAGAAGTAGCCTATTTTTAAGTAATATATGCTTTCACTTTTTAAAACACACAGAATCAAATATATCAACATATCTTGCTTATTTCAATTCATGATAATGTTTCATATTAAGTTGTTTCTGGACAATAGGTTTATTAAATATTGAATAGGCACAGAATCAATAGAGAGTTAAAATAGTAAGACAGAAATAAAGAAAAATACCAAGTACAAATATTTTCAAGGAAGTGTCTGCCTTTCTTACCCAATTCAAAGCTATCCAATTCCATATGTGTTTAAAGCGAAATAATATAAGTGAAAAGAAAATGTAAATAATGGGAAATATCATACATTCTAACCACTTCCTTAATATTTGAATTACATTAAAGTACAATCACTTCTTAAAAAAATGAATCCCTCAGTGAATGTAGCAGAGCCAGGACTTCTAGCACTCCTCATTGGAAACTGAGGGCCCAGATCATGCCATTTTCTCCACTTGGCATATTTTTTAAAAATAAATTTTTGTAGGGTAAGCATTTTTGTTTGTTGATTCTTGGTGTTTTAGTTCTTTAAAAATGTTCATTCAAACATGTATGCATGATTCATGCATTCCTTTTGGACAATTTGTGGTACTGTTGTCATCTATAGCATGCCAGGAAGGAGTACATAGGGTAGATCTTATTTGCAAAGAGAAGTGTACACCTGGGAAAGAACAGAATCTTCTCTCTAACATGGTTACAAGTAATTATAACCATACGAGAAGTGCAATCAAAGAAACAACTATCAATCTCAGTGGCTACAAGACAGGACAGAATGACCATCTCTGAGGGGCAGAGGATGGGCAGTGGAGGAATAGCTTCATTGGCGTGGTGATGCTCAAGCAAGTAATATCACCCAAGCTAATAAAGGAATGTGGGGCACAGGGTGGGGTATTCACATGGAACACATCATCTAGTTTTCCTGAAAGATTTTCAAGAGTGGTCCTAAAGTAAACTAGAAAATATAAGTCTCTGTCTAGTCTCTAGGAAATTCCAAGAGCATATTTCAGACATTTCAGACAATAAAACAAATATGAAAATGTATAAGAAGTGTTTAAACCAACAAATTCTCCAATAAATAAATTTTGTCTAAATGTAGCCACAATTCATATGAAACATCAAAAATGAGAATTCCACATGTGGACCCAAAGAGTTTTGGCCAAAGATAATGCATAGACGTAACGCATGCGTTATGAAGCAACATGGATGAGGGAGGGAGGGAAAAAGGAGGGAGAGAAAGAAAAGTTAGAGGGAGAAAAGGAGGACAAGGAGGGGGAAGAGGAGAGGAAGGAAGGACTGACTGTGGCGATGATTTCAAATCAATGTAGAATTTTTTGCCAATAAACATGATAATCTGGATTTCACAAAAAGCCAAGATAATATAAAAATACAAACTGAACATAAAGAAAAAAACTGAATACAAATGACCACAATAATGATTGAAACATTGTAGAAAGCAGTTTCTTCCCAAAATATTTTTGAGGTCTAAGGTGTTTACAATGATATTTACTAACTTTACTAAAGATCATATAATTCCAGTTTTATGAAATGCTGTTAGAATATTGACCAAGATGGAAAAATTCCTAGACATTTTATAAAGTCAACAAAAGTGATACCAATAATGAAATAGAAGCAGAGCAAAGGAAATTAAAAGACAATTTCAATAATGAAAAATATTGTAAAAAAATTAAAGCAAAATTCACAAGGGTATTAAAAGTTTGATCAAAAAAAGAAATCCTCTTGGAATGAAAGAATAATATGGTACAAGCTTAGTTAAGGAATCAAGATAATACAACTGATTAGTATATCAAATGAGAGTAATGCAATTGAAATAATTAAATGTAATATGATAAAGTACATCACATATTACTAAGTGTAATATAAATACTCTTAGTGATGTAGCAAAATAAAAGTAGAGGCATATTTTATATTAGTGATAATTAACAAACACCAGAATAATATATTGACAGTCAAAATAGAGAATTGATTGTCATTAAAAATTAAATTTTTATGAACTAGATAATCTATTAAGCCAATAAACAAATATAAATTGTCTAAGTAGTGTAAATGAGAAAATAAAATAATCAAAATTTGAAGATAAAATTAGTCATAGCAGATTAAATTAAGGGTGCAAATGAAGTTAGAAAAATAGTTCAGTTAGGTGACAAGACACAAGAAAAATCCCCCAAAACTATATTTTTATGTAAGAATTAGAATATACAATAATTTTTATTTACAACAGCCCAAAGTATAATACATAGATGTTTTAATAAAATATGGAAGCTATAGTAAATCAAATGTAAAATTCACTTAAAATATGCTAGATGAAAAGCTATATTATACCTAGATCATGAAAATGAATATTATAAAGGTAAAATTTATTCTAAAATTACTTAATCTAAATTTGCATGTATTGTTATTGACTAGTTAGAACATATTCCATATTATTGTATAAAGTTATCATGTTCATTACATTTAAAAATACTTTTAGTTCAGTTAAGCAGGTATTATAACCAAGTCTCTTTTCCTTCTATGTCTTTTCATTATTTTTATATTTATATAAATCCATATGTATATGGAGGTGTTTCTTATACAATAAATAAATATGTAACATATAAAATAATTTTAAATCCTGTTTATTCATTTATGACATCATGTCTAGTCTCCAAATATTTGATTTTCATCATTATGCCCTATTCCATCATGTGGATTTCTTTTATAAATATTGTTGTTCATGTTCACCAATCCAAACTTAATACCTAGATCAGAGGTTATTATAAGCTAAAGGTGTCAGGAGCTGGTCCAAACCGCCAGCCTGAAGACACAGTCCAGGCAGTGGGATGGCAGGGACTGCCCAGCGGCCTTCCCAGAGGAGCAACCCCGATATCCCTCCTGCTCAAAATGTCCCTTCTAAAAAAATTGCTTATTTCAGTTGCAATTCAAGCTGCCCCTTCAGGGAAGAGGACATATCTAATTCTCCCTGAAAATTCTGGGAACTAGCCCTAAAGAAATTGGAAAAAAACACTACTGTCTTTGTGACTTCCCCCGATGATGGGAAAGTGAGACCCTAAGAGAACTGGACCCAAGTTATGGGGAAAAAGATATGGAAAATTTACCTGGGTCAAGGTTCCCTCCCCCGCACCTATGTGGCCTCCAAATAACATATTCAATGATTAATGGCAACAGGTGGGTACAGAGAACATATGATATTCTTTGGCTAGCCTGCCAAAGAACAATCTGGCAAACTAAAAAACAATTGAGAACAGCGCATTACCTAACTCCAGATAAGAAAAATCTCCATTGTAAGTCTTACTGAAAATGGGTCTGAGGCACAGTCCATAAAATTTGTGACTGCCTGACAAAAAAGTCATTGTGTTATTTTAGGGAGAGCCTCTTTCTTTCCTACCAGAGATGAAGAATGGGAGTAGAGTGAGAGATTAAAGATGGTGGTGTGAGAAGTGAGACAGAGGCTTCCTCCTAAAACTGTATATAATATGAAAATATAATTAATACAACTAATCCTGAAAGAGCAACAGGAAAGATGGCTGCACCAGACTGCATACACTTGGAGAAAAGAGCAGACCTCACAGAACAGGGTAATGTACCAAAGCTGTGGCCTGGAGGAACTCAAGCCCTTCCCCCACACCAGCTCACCAAAGGGAGGAACAGAAATGGAGAGGGGAGGGAGTGGAGGCCTGGGACAGCTGAGATCTGCTCTGAGAGCACAAACCTACATTACATGGTGCTTGCATGATATTCTCGTGATTAGGGGTTTGGAAAGCTAAGACAGGCAGAATTCCTGGAGAGACTGAGATTCCAGTTGCTTGCAGAAAACAGGGATCCATATCTAGCTGCTCTGGGACAAAAGAAAGGGGGGCAGTCTTAGAGACTTCCCAACAAGGAAGCCCTTAGCAAGAGAGCTGCTAAAGGGGCAAGGATCACACAGAGCTTACTGCCCAGGAGAAAGGACAGGTAGACAAAATTTTCCAGGTGCACTCTGCCCAGCATGTTGGGAGCTTTCATGATTTCCAGGTGCTCCAGCTGCCTGGCTGGCTACACAACTCCAAGGACCCCCTCTATGATACAGAGTCCACTGCTCCTTTCTCCTGGCCAGCCCCACCTGGCTCGCAAACTGGCAAACCCTACCCTGGTGTTAGGCCAGCCAGAGGGAAGATCTGTCTACAGCAGCTACAAACACAAAGCATAGAGGATTACACCTGTGTGCTCAGTCCACTGGTTCAGGCAGTGGAGACAGGCATAAAAGCTGGGAAGCAGGAAACAGCTCTTCCCTCCCCCCAGGCACCAATACCACACACCTGCAACCCTGGACATTGCTTCAGGGGCTGAGAAGTTCCAGAGAGTAGAGCTTCTGGACACTAGAGTGTGCCATATATAAATATGAAATGCCAAAGGAACCTGATTTTGAGTAAAATTAATATAACTACTGAGAAAGATGATGTGGACCTCATGACTCTTCCTCAAAGCGAGTTCAAAATAAAAATCATT